CCTCCTTGGCATCCTCTCACTCTCCACTAACCCCAGTGACAGTCGGGCCACCTACCTTCTCTCAGGTCATTGAACACGCCCATTTCCCTTCCGCCTCCAGCTTTAGCTAATGCTCTTTGTTCCACTGTTGGTTCAGAAATGCCAAGGATTTCTGTTAAGATGTTGGGGACAGGCGGATGTGCCTTTCTTGCTTCTGTGAACTTTCGAGAAGGAAGATGGTGTGAAAGCCCTAGAGTATAGAGACCCGTGGAAGACACGTTTTGCATGAGCCAAGAATTCAGTTAAACTAAAGCATTACATTTTTTTGAATGAAGATACCGGTTTCCTTTCTTTCTGCATTCAGCTGGGTTTGAAACTTACATTATGGGTGTGTGTGTGTGTGTGTGTGTGTGTGTGTGTGTGTGTGTGTGTATGTGTATGTGAGAGCGTGTGTGCATGTGTGTTTGTGTGTTGCATGTACTCCTTCATAAAAACTGTTTCTTACAGACTTGGAATAATTAACTTCCCAAATGTGCAAGCTTCTGGAGTAATAATCTACCTAGGCTATGTAAACCAGTGTCTGAAATGTTACCCAAGACATGAACATTCCCATGAGGTGGAATTTAACTCCTTCAGTGTGTGTAAGAGGAGTGTGTGTGTGTGTGTATGTGTTTGTGTGCATGTGTGTGTGTGAGAGAGAGATGGAAACACTTTAGCCTAAATGAGCATTTCCTGAATTTTGTCCATTTGTTTATTGCCATCAAGATTTCTGCTATATTCAACTACCATCTGTACTTAGTTCCTTGTAGGGATTTCCTATATTTTTGTAATTTTTTTTTCTTTAAATTGACCCACTTTTTGTAAACTTAGCTTCCAACTAGAAAGAATATCCAACATGCCACAGACTGGGAGAAAATAATCGCAAAATGTGTATTTCATAAAGATCTAGCCTCCAAAATATACGAGGAACTCTTAAAACTCAACAATAAGAAAACAACCCAACTTAAAAATGGGCAAAAGACCTGAATAGACACCTCAGATTATAGATTTAAAATAAGTTTATGAGAAGATGTTCAACATCATCTGTCATTAGGAAAATGCAAATTTAAATAACAATGAGACAACATCACACACCTCGCTATAGACTGAATGTTTGTGTCTCCTGCCCTCCAACTTCGCAGCAAGTCCCTTCCCCAACAATATTGTGGTATTTACCTCCAGGAGCTTGACAGTTTCTCACAGTAAGTATGGGAGAAAAATCCCTCATGCTTTTAACCAGGGAGCCGGGGGCGGGGGAGGGGGGCAGGCAGTGGGGAGGAACTATTTCAAGATATACCAGAGCACACTATCCTTGCCTCCTGGAAACACTAGTTAGCCAGAACCTAATTCTGTGGGGTTTTATCAGAACATTACTAACCCCAGGAAGGGAAATGCCCAGTTCCACTTGACGGTAGACTTCCATGGGGAAAGAGAAATATCCATCCCTTAGGTGTAATTTGTCTTGATCGCTGTGGCTTTGTCTTCAAATCGGTCATTGTCAGTTCAACTTTGTTTCCCTTCTTTTTTTTTTTTTTTTTAAGATTTTATTATTTATTTGACAGATCACAAGTAGGCAGAAGCTGGCAGAGTGAGAGGGGGATGCAGGCTCCCTGTTGAGCAGAGAGCCGGATGAGGGGCTCGATGCAAGGCTCAATCAAGCCAGCTAGGCACCCCTTTGTTTTCCTTCAATATTGTATGGGCTATTCTGGGTCTTTCATCTCTTCACATAAACTTTAAAAATAGGGGCGCCTGGGTGGCTCAGTGGGTTAAAGCCTCTGCCTTCGGCTCAGGTCATGATCTCAGGGTCCTGGGATCAAGCCCTGCATCAGCTCAAGCAGCTCAAGCAGGGAGCCTGCTTCCTCCTCTCTCTCTCTCTCTGCCTGCCTCTCTGCCTACTTGTGATCTCTGTCAAATAAATAAATAAAAATCCTAAAAAAAAAAAAAAAAAAAAACCTTTAAAAATAGTTTGTCAATATCCAAAAAATAACTTGCTGGGACTTTGGTATTGCACTGAATCTGTAGATCAAATTGGGAAGAACTGACATGTTGACAAAATTGAGTCTCTTTACCCATAAACAGGGAATCTCTCTCCAATTATTTAGTTCTTTGTTGATTTCTTTCATCAGAGTTTTGTAGCTTTCCTCAGAGATTATGTGTGTATTCTGTTTGATTTATACCAAAATATTTCATTTTGGGGAGTGCTTCTTGTAAATGGTGTTGTACTTTAAATTTCAAATTCCGTTTGTTTCTTGCTCATATATAGGAAAGGGATTAATTTTTGTGTGTTAACCTTGTATCCTGAAACATCGCAATAATCACTTGATAGCTTCAGGAATTTTTACTGTTTTGTCTTGTAGATTCTTTCAGAATTCCTACATAGATGATCCTGTCATCTGTGGACAAAAATAGTTTCCTTTCTTCTGATCTGTTATTTCCTTTTCTTGTCTTATTACATTATCTAGAAATCCCTGCCGTGTCTGGGTGGCTCAGGTTGTGATCTCAGGGTCTTGGAATGAAGCCCTGCCTCAGGCTCCCCCCCCCAGCAGGGAGTCTCCCTCTCCCTCTGCCCCTCCCCCTGACTCATGTGCATGCTCTCTATCTGTCTCTTTCTTTTTCTCTCAAATAAGTAAGTAAAATCTTTTAAAAAAAATTATCTAGAACTTCTAGTACAATGTTGAAAAGCAGTGGTAGGAGGGGACATGCTTGCCTCATTCCTGATCTTATTGGGAAAGTTTCAATTTTCTCACCATTAGGTTTAATGTTAGCAGTAGGGTTTTTTGTAGTTGTTGGTTTTTTTTTTCTTTTATTGAATTGAAAAAAATCCTCTCTAAAACTGGTTTATTGAGTTTTTATCATCAATGGATGTTGGATTCTGCCAGATGATTTTTCTGCATTGATATGATCCCATGATTTTTCATTTGTTTTTTGTTTTGTTTTGTTTTGTTTTTTAGAGACAGAACATGAGCAAGGGTAGGGGGGAGAGGCAGAGGAAGGCTCCATGCCTAGTGCAGAGCCCAGTGTGGGGCTCAATCTTAAAATCCTGAGATCATGACCTGAACCGAAATCAAGCGTTGGATACTTAACTAACTGAGCCACCTGGGCACCCAGTGATTTTTCTTTTTTAGCCTGTTGATGTAATGGATTACATTCATTTTGTTACATTATGTAATTAATTTTTGACTCTTGAGCCAGTCTTGCATACCTGGGATAAGTCCCATTTGGTCATGATGTATAATTTTTAATGCATTTTTAATTCAATTTGCTAATATCTTGTTAAAGAGTTCTGCATAAGAGATATTGGTATATGTTTGTGAGAGACATTGGTCTGTGGTTTTCTTTTCTTATAATGTCTTTATCTGATTTTGGTGTTAGGGTAATGTCTGCCACGTGGAATGAGGTTGTATTTTCCCTGATTCTATTTTCTGAAAGAGATTGTAGAGAGTTGGTATAATTTCTTTTTCAAGTGGTTGGGGATCTTATCAGTGAACTCATCTTGGCCTCGTACTTTCTGTTTTGGATGGTTATTCTTGATTTGCAGTGGACTCCTTGACCTGGCAATGACACTTTATACATTCTAGGTGTAGATTCAGAAACTCTTTGAACAAGTTCAAAAGGGGTTATTGCAGTAGCATTTGTGATCACGAAAAACTGGGAACATCCTGAATGTCCATTAGGAAGGGAATGGATAATATACAACAGACTACTAGACAGTTGTTAAAATGTACAAACTACGTAAGTTATCCACATGCATGGGTCCTGAAATGTAACATTGGGAGAAAGCAAATTCCAAAATGATGTTCATGATATGATCCTGTTTTTATATGTACTAAATCTAGCTTATAGGTACATATAGGTAATAAATCATAAAAACATTGCCTAGAAGGATACATACATACCAAAATCATGATAATCGGCAGGAGAGGTGTCCTAGGTAAGAGAACTCAGGAGTTGGGTTACTTTACACATATACACACACACACTTATACAGATCTGATAAAATTTTCACTTTTCTCAGCTTTGATGAATACATGGTTTTTTATGTATATAGTTCTTTGTGGTTCCTACCTGTAAAAAGTAAAATCCATTTATTTCCATATTGCTAAAATCCACTTTTCAATCAGTTCTGTAACCCTTACTGTGTTTGACTTTGCAAATATTAATACTTCAAACCTCATAACAATCTTATGAGGGACTATTTTAAAAGGAAGGAAAGGGATGCACAGAGAGGTCCACCCACTCACCTAAGGTAAAACAGCTAGCAGGTGGCAGAGCTGGGCTTCAGACCCAGGTAGCCTGGCGCCACTGTCCATGATTTCAAACACCCTCTACGTGTTATCTGTGACTTGTAGTCCCCTCAGCAGGGTCCCCTTTGTCCTTCTCGTACTGTCTACTTGTCTACCCTTACTTTGTTTTAAGCTGTACAGGATCTGAATTCAAAATCTCTCTCATTACTCCATCCCACCTCCTGGCCCATCATAAATAAACAGCAAATGTTGTTGAACAAATGAGTGGATGAATGAGTGACCTCACGTTCCTGGAAATCACTCTGTGCGAGTGCCATGCTCAGGGTCATTGCCGAGTCCTCCACCGCATTTGATGTCGTTCAGGGTGCCAGCCCTGGGCATTATGGGAAATGAGCCCCTCAGTAGAAAAATTGGGGGGGAAAAAATCAAGTAACATGGGACTTTTATTTTTTAGGGGCCACCTTACTCTCTCTACATGTGAAGGAGTTATTCAGAGAAAAGTCAAGTTTTAGGAAACACGTGGGCCTCCTCACAGATCCATCTTCATTCTCCAACCATTCCCACTCATTTCTGCTTTCAATTTTAATGTCATTTCTTCTGAGAAGCCTTCTCTGGCCACCCTGTTCCCTCTCGCATATGCTCTGTCTCCTACTCCCCTCTTCCGTATCAAACTCACCACAACTTAGAATTACTTATGTATTTGTGAATTTATTCTTTCCTATGTCTCTGTGCCCCCAGGTGACTGTAAACTCCGAGGGGTCAGAGATCACACCTGTCGGGCACACACGTCATGCCCAGAACCCGGCCCAGTGCTTGCTACACAGTAAGTGCTCATTTATCATCAATGAATGGTTGTTGTTTGCCGACTACAGTGGCTTAGCTGAAAGATGTGCCCCAGGGGTTTCAAAAAATACATATTTTTTTAAACAGCAAAATGCTTTTCACCAAACGAAATTGTTCAGGCTTCCTGATCTAAACCAGCTCGTTCCTCTGGTTAAACTGGGGGTTGATGGGGAAAATCGGCTCACCCTGCCTTCTCCTTGCTGCTCCCAACGGGCTCCCTGACGGACCTCACAGATCGTATCTTGGGAGATTGTTCCAAGCTCCCTTGCTCCCTGCAAGTGCCGGAAGGGTCTCCTTACCAAGGGGACCCCTTCTTTGTAGGCTGAGAGACTGATGACCTAGCCTCTTCTCCCAGGCCCCTGCAACAGCCTCGTGGTGTACTTTGCTAATAGAGCCATAAATCCCCCCTCTACATGAGCATTCTGGTTTGATTTGCTCTTCAAATGACCCCTTCCTGGGGAAAACACTATGCTTTCCCTGAGTTATAGCAGAGACTCCCCTGGATGGCTGTGTCGTGTCCAGCCTTTACCATCTGATCATCTGATTCCTCTCCAATTTATGAGCTTGTTAGTTCCCCAGCCAAGCTCCTACCTCACTGCGGCTGACCTAGTAACGCTATTTGCCTATGTCACTTTGCTCAGACAAACCCAGACGTCCCTGCTGAGGAGGCAGCCGTGCCAGCCCAGTCACCTCATTCACTGACCCTGGCTGACTCCATAGAGCTGGGGCAGGCAGGACAGAGCATCAGAATGTGGGACAGGTGCAGCTCCCATAGTCACCGAAGCTCTTGATGCTTGAGCATGGCTGGGAAACCCAGGTTCCTTGTTTCCTAAATGCTCCCCCGCAGAGAATCCCTGAGATAGCTTCTATCTTTCAAAGGCAAGGGGGCTGTCACCTGCCCTCAGCCCCTTCTTCCTGCTGGGTTTCGTGGCTCCCCTAAATTCTCCTTCTGGAATGCTCGCTTTGTACATCCTGTGGTAGGTCAGGCGCAGTGACCCATGCTTTGACTTGGAGCCCGGGAGTGGCAAGAGATAGAACTGGGAATACTTTTTATGTGTCTCCATTTCTTGGCCTCGGCAATGAGAACCACAGTGGGTCTCAGACCATTTGTTACCTTGTTACCTTGGGCAGGAAAAGAAACACACCCCTTTTGCCTATCATGTCATGACAGTAGCTGTGAAGGTTAACATTTGATGGGCTGGACAAAAATGGGAACCTCCAAATCCATCAGTTGGTAACTGGAGATTCAAAATGTGATACATCCTTATAATAGAATGCTAGTGAGCAATAAAAAGGAACATTCTACAGACGCATGCTACAACATGGAGGAGCTTCATATGATGTCAGGAAAAGAGGCTGGACCCAGGAGACCACAACATATCACATGGTCTATTTATATGAAATATCCAGAAAAGGCAAAGCTATGAAGACAGAAAATAGATTAGTGGTGGCCTGGGGACGGGGACAGGAAGTAACAGGAAACGTGTGTGAGGAATTCTGTCGAGGGGATGAAATGCTTTAAAACTGATTTATGGTGATGGTTGCATAAGTTGGTTAAAAAAATAGGTGTATGTATCTCACCAGGCTGGGGAGGGGGGTTCCCCGACATGCATGCCCTGGAGGACTTCGCAGTAAAGGGTCACGAGGGGCTGCAAGTTCTTTAAAAGGGTTCAGCCGGTGCCCACGTGTGCATCAGTATCTCAGTACCTGTCTTGAAATCTGTATTCATTTCCTTGGGGCCACCAGAACTAATGACCACAAACTTGGGTGGCCCAAAACATCTTGAAATCTCTTGTCTCACTGTCCTGGAGGCCGTAAGTCCAAAATCAAGACACTGGCAGGGCTCCCGCTCCATTTGGAGCCTCTAGAAGAGAGTCCTTCCTCGCCTTTTCCACGTCCGATGTTTCTGGCTTCCTTCTGCTTGTGCTCCCATCACACCCATCTCTGCCTCCATTTTACACTGCTTCTCTTCTGTCTGCCTGTCTCTTAGGAGGCCACTTCCCATTGGATTTAGGGCCTGAATTACACTTACCTTATGATCCCAAGTTAAATCTGCAAAGACTTCAAAATGAGGTCACATTCACAGGTTCCGGGGATTTGATGTGGGTCTCTCTTGGGCGGGGGGGGGGGGGGGGGGGGGAACCAGCGCGGGATCTGTCTCCGTCATCTCTGTCTGTACCCATGTCATCGATATATCCATATCTTTACATCTCTCTGCATCTGTACCTATATCATATCTCTAGATTGCCGGTAAAGCAACGATGTCCAAGTGTGAAGCATTTCTGACCTACCTCACAGGTCCTCAGGTTCTCATGGTACAGGTACACGATTCGAAAAACCCTGCGTTTTTGAATTCCGATGTTTCCCGATTTTAGGAAGGCACTCAGGTATAGGCACCATGTGTTGCATTATACCTTGAACGAGAGCCTGGGCAGCACCCCATAATAAAACATACGAGGATGTCTGCATTAATACGTTTGAAGATTCGCACTAAGTGGGCTACAGAGAGACATCATTTCAGCTGACTCAGGTCAGGTTTCGCTACCAAATGAGTTTTAGCACCACATGCGTGATAAATCTCTGGGCTCCAGAGCTCTTTGAATTTTCGAATTATGGAGAAGAGAGTGGGCGCCCTTGTTATTCTTTCTCCTCCTGTGTGTGTTTGGAAATTTTCATAACGAAACGTATTGAACAAATGAGATTGTGCATGTCACAAGCCCAGCCTAGAGCCTGACACATAGTAAGGACGCACAAAGTATGTGACAATTAAAATTAATTTCATAATGATTATTGTGTTGACCGTGTTATAAGTCAGACAGGTAGGAGCTATTGAAGGTTTTGATGCAAGGGAATGGCGTGGCCAGGGAAAAGGGCATCTAGAAGGATGTCTATCGTAGGTGGTCCGGGACAGGGCAGGAGGGACAGGGATCAGAGCGAGGCTGGTTAGGAAGCTGTTGTACGTGTCCAGGCAGGAGGTGATGAGGTCCTGAAGTGGAACAGCGGGAGAAAGCTGGAATTAACCTGACAGAACCCGGTGAGTGCTCTGGGAGAGCAGGACGGGTGCTTGTCAGCCTCCCTGATATGCTTCTTAGTGACGGCAGAAGAGAGACATACAGGGTACTGCTCTGCGCTTTTAGGAGGGAAAATACTCATCAGTCAATTCCGGAATGAGTCAAGTGGGAGTTTCATAGCTGACTCAGCCTCCCAGTCTGGTCCATAGCCTTAGCACCAAGAGCAACGTTTTTGATTGTCAGGGTTAATTCGAGGCAGAGGGCTTGCTGGTCAGGTCTGTCTGGGGGACAGAGCACGGGCCACCGGGGCCCCTGTGCCCAAGTGGTCTTGCCCTCCTTTTAGACCTGCAGATGCCACTCAGATTATAGGGACAAAGGCGGGGCTTCTCAACACCAGCCCTGCTTTAGAGTCGCTTGGGGGAAGAGTTTCAAACAACACTTCCTTAACATATGCCACCAAGTGTATTCTGGACGTGGGATTAAGACGTCAGGGAGGGGCACCTGGGTGGCTCAGTGGGTTAAAGCCTCTGCCTTCGGCTCAGGTCATGATCCCAGGGTCCTGGGATCGAGCCCCGCATTGGGCTCTCTGCTCAGCAGGGAGCCTGCTTCCCCCTCTCTCGCTGCCTGCCTCTCTGCCTACTGTGATCTCTGTCTGTCAAATAAATAAATAACATCTTTAAAAAAAAAAAAAAAAGAACAAAGAACGGCTTGCTGGGGACTCTCTTGGAAGCCTTTATAATACCTCCCCTCAAGCATCCCGGAGGGCTCCCGGCATGGACAGCTGTGGAAGAGCAGGGCCCTTATCTTCACACTTCCCACGGAGCCCTGTCAGATTCCTGTCACTCCCTTTAAGGCAGTTTGGTTATTTAGAAAAGCCGTATTTACCGTAGAAGAACTTGAGAAAGAAGAGAAGCAGAGCCAAAACAAGACCAAAGCTCTAGTCAATGATCAACCCCCACCCCATGAAACCACCACAGAAACCGTGTCTGTGAATTTCTTCCCCGTCCTCTTTCCTCCGCTCGAAGGTGTACTTGTTCTTTTTAGATGTAAAGATCATACTTGATCCGGTTTTATAATGTAATTCATTTAACGATAGATGGGGAACAATGGAACAATTTTTCCTATGTTTAAAAAAAAAATGCCATCCTTTTTAATGGCGACCAAACATGTCATGACCAAACATGAGCATATCGGGGATTTCTGGATTTTTACTCATAATCATCATTGCAGTGACATTGTGAGACAGCATATGCTTTTTCATGTGGTTAGCTGGTTTTGGCTTTAGGATAAATCCCTCCGATTGGAATTGTTGTGAGAGAGGGTGTGTATACACGCAGGTGTTTCATACCCAGCACTGAGCAAAGATGCGGTTAGCCCTCCCTTAAACCAACCAATTCAAACTGCTTTAAGCCCTTTAAACTCTTCCCGTCCTCGGGCACCTCGTCCCAGCCGAAAATTCACAAAAGAGGCTGTTGGCGGTTGCGTCAGCTCCAAGAATTAAACTCCTTTGACGTGAATGTTCCAGTCTGTCGCTGTACGGTTGAAATAACCACAGACTATTCTTTTTATCATCACTGGGCCTAATAAGGGAACTTTTGGTTTGGTTTGACTTGGTTTGGGGAGGTTGTTTTGGCTAGGGACGAGCTGGTTCTTCTTAAAAAAGGCATTATTTCCAGAGCTTTCCCGAGCCCCTCCCTCTACTGCATTTCATGTCCTTTGGCCCTGGGTTTTTGCCATCTGGGTCCAGCTCTGGGTCACAATCTTCCTAACAAAGCTTCACTCTCCTGCCCTCGAAGCGTTTGTGCCCTGGGTGTTTTTCCCCACCTGGAAATCTCCTTCCGGTAGGATTTCCAGATTCACTAAATAGGAGTATAGGATACCCAGTTCAGTCTGAGTTTCAGATCGAAGTAAGTGTTTTAGGGATTCTGCCTATTTCTGATTATGTCTCTTCTAGTTGTGTATCCTAGAA